GTCCCCTCCATAGACAAAAGATAGCTGTACTCCTTCTCCTTGTAATAGATTTATTGCTTTCTGCCTGCTTTTCTCACAGTGTTCCAGCTGGCATGAGCTGTCCTCCCAGACACATGGTTAGTGTCTTGTTGGGAAAAGAGCTAAGCATTAGGGAATTAAATTAGACACACTAGCATAAGAAAGCAGTACTTGGTAGACCGGGTTGTTCTTCTATTGCTTATATTTCCTCTTTTCATTACTAGTTTTGCTCAGGAATAGTAATGAGTGAAAGTAGTTTGGAAATTTCTACCTCAGGTCAAAACCAAATGGAAGACAAAGGCAAGTACTCTGTTGATACTGTGGCTGAACTTTGAATGCGGAGCAGGGTGACATTTGGGGCCTGGATGGGGCCCCTGGGTGGCTCCATCGCTTAAGCGTCTGACTCTTGATTTCAGCTCAGGTCATGACCTCAGCCCTGCATTAGGCTCTGTGCTCAGTGGCGAGTCTGCTTGAGATTCTCGCTCTCCTCTCTCTGCCCCTCCTCACCCACAGGCGTGCGTGTCCTCTCTCAAATAAAAATGTAAGTCCTTAATATTCGGGGCCTGTATGATAATGAAAATGGTAATTTGGAGACAACTCTGGAAAGGATGAAATTCCTTGGGAGATAAATCAGGTTGCTTGATCTATTGCTCTTCGTCACAGGACACTGTCTTTTTTTTTTTAATTTTTATTTATTTATGATAGTCACAGAGAGAGAGAGAGAGAGAGAGAGAGGCAGAGACACAGGCAGAGGGAGAAGCAGGCTCCATGCACCGGGAGCCCGATGTGGGACTCGATCCCGGGTCTCCAGGATCGCGCCCTGGGCCAAAGGCAGGCGCCAAACCACTGCGCCACCCAGGGATCCCCCAGGACACTGTCTTTACAACGCTAAATTCTTTTACTTTGTGACAAAAAGACAGCAATTCACCATTCCATTGTATTACCTAAAATACAGACAGTTTTAGATTACTAAGGTGAGACTTGATGCTGTTTTATTATTTGTGAGAGAAGACCATTAGAAAACTTGATTAAAGTCAGCCACGTGATAACTGTGTTAAAAAAAATAATAGCTCACTTAACATGGATGAGATATTATGCTAAACTCTAGACGTGATTAATAATCTCACTTCAGTTTACAGCTAATCCTATGAAGTACTATTGTTACCTGGATTTTACAGATGTAGAAACTAAGGGTTAGAGTTTTAAAATAACTTGCCCAAGTCATAGTGTCAGTAGGTAGCACAGTCCAGGTGTTTGTAATATTAAAATTAAAATTAAAAATTAAAAAATAAAAATTAAATGAAAAACCTTCAGGCCACGTTTCAAAACCCACTTTGACGTGTGTGTACGGATTGGATGGTTCCTCCTCCTAATCGTTCCAAAAGAGACCTGAAAGGCATAGGTCCCTTACACACGAAGAATAATGGGTTGTTGACATGCTTTCATCAGCTGCCTCGATCATTCTGCTCATCAAATTATGTACTGAAATAGTATTCTAAAATAATTATATGTAAAAATATGAGGTGGAAACAATCCAAACCCACAAGCCACATCTTCTCTTCTGTGGCTATGCTAGGGTAGAAAGGGACATTATAACTTACGAAGAAGGCAGAGGGACTTTGTAAAACATTCTCCAAGTGTATGAAACAATTGTTTTAGTATTCTGAGTAAAATAGGCACATTTTAAAACTTAGAGTAGATGAAACTGGTTTTAGGTTGACATTTGAAAAAAAATACCTGGATATTTGTAGGGTTTTATGTAAACAAACCAATGTGTTTAACCGTGTATGTATTTTGGCTTTCATTTACCAATTGATTTTATTCATGCTGATGAACTTACATGTGTCAATGAATATGTTTAGAGAAAAACAATATGCATCACTAGAAAAATGGGAACATTTTTTACCCCAAACGTTGATAGAAAACATGTGTCAGATAGCATCTGTCTGCATTTAAGTCGCACAGGACCTGGAGGAAGAATTGGAAAAAACTAAAACCACAGCCATAGGCGAATATTGTAGATAGTGGAACATATTTACACAGCACAAGGAGAATTTACTTTGCAATGGTTCAGTTCAACACAACAACATGAACAGTTAAACTGGATAGGAGGGTTTCTAAAGCAGAAGTATTTGACTTGAATATGTATGTGGACCAAATTATCTAGATAATTTTGTAAGACACTCAAAATAAGCTTTAGGTCTCTGTATTGAAATGATTTCATGCATCCTCTTAAGGATTGGTTTGGCTTTTATGTTAGATATTTTATTCATAATAGGATTTCATTTTATTATTTCGAAATTTTGCCCATAATATGGCCTTATTTTGGCTCTCCAAGGGAAAGTGTGGAATATCCATGTATCACAGAGTAAGAGAGTTAGAAGCAATTTATTTTTGCTAGTGGACTCATGATAACTCTATCTTTAGAAGAGAGTAGATGCCAGCAGGTCATTTTTAAAGTTCTTAACTTTCAAGCCAGATTGAGGTGGGAGCAGATTCATCAGAAAGGTGTATTTCTGTTCCCCAGAAATTTCTGTTCTGGGGAACAGAAATACACGCTCTCCTAGAGTAGAAAAGGAAGTTTAAGTGTACACGAAGAAAATTAAAATTTAATTAAAAAATTAAAATTGTTTTCAACTAACTACAGTTAGCATTTCATCTACTTATTTTTAATCTTCGCACACATGAATATTACAAACACCAATAGTCAATATAAATGCTGTTCACTTAGTGTTCCTTAGCTCATCCTTTGGCTCTTCTATCATGAATTGCTATTTTCAAAGGCCTCCTTTAGTGTTTGTTTTCCTTCATTACAACTTACTCTTTACAAACATTTCTTATTTGCTGTCTAAGCAAACCTTCCCAGTATTTTGGTCATAATTTGAAAACTATGAAGCTTTGTTGTTTATATACATGTCTTAACCAAAGGACCTAAATATAAGTGTGCTCAGCAGGAAAGGGCAAAATAGGCCAGCTAAGAAAAATATTTTTTATTTTATTTTTCCCATGATGATAGTTGAGTTATTCAAATTCCGTTCTGAAAAAAAAAAAAGAAAAGTGTCTATTAAGCAGTTTTTCCCTAAACAATAGTTGGCACTGCATGGACACAGGGTAAGCTCAAGGAAGGCATTTTAAAATAAGACCACGTGGACAAATTTTATGTGTTCAGAGTGTTCATCATAAAAGAGTGATTACACACACACACACAAAAACACTCATGATACAAATGCCTGGAAAAGAATATTCTTTTCTAGACCTATTCTCACATTCATTGATTTTCTTCACTCTCAGGGAACACAAAGCTCTCCTCCCGGCTGCCATATTTTGTCAAAATAGAGCCACCTTTGCATCAATGTTGACTTTACTTAAATAGTAACAGCCGTCATGCCACTTCTCTGTTAAAAAAACTTCTGAAGATTTTTTTTTTTCCTATAGAATGTCATCTATACTCAGTTTGGTCCCTGCCTGCCTCTCATTGCTCTCATGCGCTGCAAAGTCGGACCAAAGACACCCTAATACGAAAATACCAGCATCTTCCAGCTGTTTCTGTCTTAAAGGACTCCAGCTGGAGTTGGCACACTTGCCCCCAAATGACTGTCACGCTCAGTGACTGACCCAGAGCCATCCCACTCATAGTTTCTTTCTTAGAACCCGCTTCTGTGGAAGGCATGTATGGAAAATCAGTAAATACTAGTTTGGATTGAATTCACTTCTAGGCCCTTTAAAATACTAAAGCTGTGTATAAAAATTGCAGATCTCTAGCTGGAAGAAATTTCAGAGACAATGCAGCTTAAACCTTGCATTTTTAAATATAGACAACCCAGGCCTTCAGCCTAGCTATAATATCCCGGGCACATAGTTTATTTAGGGTAAGGTGATGCAGTGATAAAATTAAATTATAATCTCCTGGAAGTTTCCAGAGGAGAAGTCATTAGTTTGTGTTACGTAGGGGGGATTATCTAGGTTGACCATAGTAATATTGTGTAATTCTGTAAAAGTACAAAATGAACTTTTAAGTCTCTGTAATGAAATCGTTCCTGTCTTCCCACAAGCGTTTTGTTTTGATGTTAAAAATTCAGTTTCAAATGGATTCCTTTGTATTAGTTTAAATATAAGCGATCGGATAAAATGCTTCATGAAGGAGGGAGAACTTGGGTTGATCTTTGAGCCCAGGTAAGGCGGTCGTACGCGGACAATCTGGTAGAGGAGATGTGGGTTCGATCCGAGGAACGCATGACTTATCATTAACAGTGACTTTTCCTAAAATTCATTTCTATATGAATTCCAAATGGCCAGTTCTTTAATTTTATGTGGGAGGACCTCCAGCCCAAGGTGGTAATATTTTTATACCCTCGTGTGGTTGGCTCAAATAGAAAAAATTTGAGGAAAGGTGAACAAACATCATTGGTGGCTGAGTATATATTTTTTATCAATTTATCCATCCTGAACACAACGTTATCTTTCTCAGGGTTGGTGTGCTAATCACTACCACCACCCAGAGACTCCGTGAATAGAACCACCACAAGCAATCATAAACAGGCTATTTAGACAGAACAATCGACGTGGCATGATGAAAAGAGCATGATCTGTATAAGATTCTGATACATAAATCCAAAGTTTTCAAATTAATTAGCTGCAGGATTTTTTTTTTTAATCAATTAACCTCACTGAATCTCAGTTTCTGTGTTTCGGAATAAATTAAAATATTAATCACATTGAGAGATTCACAGAAGAAATTTACGTAAAAGTTTGGTACGAGCAGATTTCTATTCCTACGTATGTCTATCTGCACTGAAGCAACTCGTTTGTCTCTGTTTAAGGAATCACAAGTTTTCTCTAATTAAGATTCTATTGTGAGTGAATCTTGAGGAGAAAAATAAAATGATTCTCGCAGATTTGGAACAGCTACTAGGAATTGTGAATGTGTCTTATTCGGATGATTGTAAATAAAAATAAAATATTTGGTTTCTCTTGCCTTTTAGGAGCTTAAGCTGCCAAAGGATTACCTTGCACAAAAACCTCTTCTTCTCTTTTGTTTGTAATTCTATTGTAACGATCATTCATCTCACTGCTGTGGCCAACAACCAGGCGTTAGTGGCCACAAATCCTGTAAGTAAAACGAGGTTGTTCCCTTAGGTTCAAGAGTTTAGAGGGAAAGAAACGTGTAGGGGGTGGTGGGGGGTGGGTGTGTAGGGTGTCCTGATATGTGTGAATGTGTGTCAGGACTCTATGTTGATATTTTAAGGTCTGGCATATAAAGACTACGTGTATCTATACTCCAGTCTGTGAAGGCAGACACATCTCAGTCTTTCCCAAGTTATAAAGGTTGACTATCCAGAGGAGGAACGTGTCTCTTGGCTTCCATGATTCATATCCATCATACATACCGCCCCCCCCCCCCATTTTATGGCTGGAGTCCTGCTGCTGGTAGGACAGAAAGGGCTTATGACCATGTGACATTCACTCTATCGAATTTAAGAAACCAATCGAAGCAACTGACTACAGATGTAGCTCGAAAACACAAGGCGTGAAAACAGAAAGACTTTAATATGACATATTTGGGATCGGGTTGACTTTCAATAGTTAATAAAACCCAGGGGGAAAATGAATCATACGCCCCCTGGGTAATGCTAACGTCTCCCAAGGTTGGACTTTTAAAGGACTCCACCAGGTCCTCGGATCTCAGCCAATATTTACGAATTGTTTCCTTCTAACCCCTCTGGAAGCACAATTTGTTTTGCTTTGGAATTTTTTTATTGAGGTATAGTTGACACACAATGTCACAGGAGTTTCCGGCGCATGACCTAGTGACTCCACAGCACTCTGCGTTGCTCCCTGGGAGTGTGGCTCCTGCCCATCGCCCTGCACCACCCCGGCCCCGTAGGCCCCGTCAGCGTCAGTGATGACATCTGCCCGCTGCACCTTGCGCTCCTGTGACTCCTTTCTTCCGACCCTGGAGGCTTGTATCTGCGACTCCCCTTTCCCCGTCCTGCACACCACCCGCTCCCCTCCATCCCTGGTTCCCTAGCAGCTTGTTCTCAGTATTATGGGGTCTGTTTCCAAAAGCATAATTCTAATTATGTCCTAATACAAAAGCCATATTTTCAAAACATAAACTAAAATTTATGTACATCATCAGTGTACATCTTTTATGCAAACTAAATGCACATCTGAGCTATATTTAACATTATCGGCATAAATAACAAACATATTTTCAAGTATTTAAGATCATCTGCTTTCATAATGTTTGTGGTATCCGTACGAGAGCTCTGGACCCGGATTCGTGCAGGAGCTTGTATGTAGGGTGTCTATCACGTGGTCTTTTGAAGATGAAGTTATCTAGTTTCTGAAATCAGGAGAGGAAAGGAATTTGCACTGGGGGCATCAACAAACAACACTCTATGCATTTTACATGTGTTTTAGGGTAATTTCCATAATCCTGAAATTCCCTGCACTGTTTGCACATATGCACCCGGACTGCATAACCCTGTGTATGCTCCACTCTCGCTGTCACGGGGCCAGGAAAGGCGCTGGGACAGAATGAGCAACATAAAAATGGGCGGGCGGCCTACCCTTTGAGAGGGACTTTTTCTAGAGCGAAGAGAAGCTTTGTCACAAAGCTGCAGAGCCAGAGATTCTAAATCTCACATTTACATGTGTTTAACGTACAGATGGCAAGCTGTACTGTATTTCTGGGGTGTTCTCAGAAAATTCATTGTTTATGTCAGCAGTGCCCTCCATAGAAATACTTCTGTGAAGCATGTTTAAGTTCTTTTTATCATAGTGGCTTTTTAAATTATTTATTTATTTATTCATTCATTTATTTATTATTTATTTATTTATATATTCATTCATTCATTCATTCATTCATTCATTCATTCATGAGAGGCAGAGACACAGGCAGAGGGAGAAGCAGGCTCCATGCAGGGAGCCTGACGTGGGACTCGATCCCGGGACCCCAGGTCACACCCTGGGCCCAAGGCCGACGCTCAACCGCTCAGCCACCCGGGCTGCCCATATCACAGTGGCTTTATAGATGAATGTTTTAAGTGAAATCAGGAGTAAAAAGCCCATTAGATATGCATGTCTAAAAACTAGAATATATAAAAATTTGAAGCAAAAGTCTCTTATTTCTCTATAATATAGTTGGATAACTCATTTGTACCCTTGAGAGGACTTTGTTATAAGTTACGTCTGACATCGAGATACTTTATTTAAAATTTAATGCGGTGCTCTCTGCCGATGTATTTAATGGAAGAACAGGTTTTATTATTTTTTTTTAATTTATTTATGATAGTCACAGAGAGAGAGAGAGAGAGAGAGGCAGAGACACAGGCAGAAGGAGAAGCAGGCTCCATGCACCGGGAGCCCGACGTGGGATTCGATCCCGGGTCTCTAGGATCGCGCCCTGGGCCAAAGGCAGGCGCCAAACCGCTGCGCCACCCAGGGATCCCCAAGAACAGGTTTTATAAATGTCTGCGGGAAGAAGGCATTGTGTAGAGTCATGAAAACAAAATTGGAATTACAAGACTCGTGTTCAGGGTGTAGCTTTGATCGATGTTGTCCGAATATTAGCAGATCACTTAACTTCTCCAGTATTGAGTTTTCTACCCGTAAAATATGTGACTGGTGATAAATAGTGCTCCACAGAATTAAAGATTAAATAGAACGACCTCTTAAAAGTATTTTAAGCTAACTAACATGCACATCACGATTACTATTCTAGGAGATCCCGCTATGTATTCTCTAGTGTATCTCACTTCTGGTTTTCTCTTTAATGGAAAAAAAAGTTTATTTAGAAAAATAATGATAACTGCCACAAAATATTTATTGACCAGACTGGAAATTGGAAGCTGATGGGAGTAATTGGCTAAATATTTCTGGGAGACGTTTAAATTTATTCTCCTTTCTAAGGGAGCAAAACATATCTCTGACTTCATGTTTACTCCGTGCTTGAAACTTCCTCTTCTGATCTCCTTTAGACAAGAGAAAGTGGAGATCTCAGGAAAAGAGGAAGGAACCCTAACTTTTTCTTCTTTGCACTTACATGAAATCTTCAAACCTCATATTTGAATAAGATAAAATATGGGCTCATTAGATTATTATTTGCTAAGTAATAATTGCATTGATAGCAGTCAAATGCAGGACTTTTGTTTATTGGGCATTCTTCCTGAAAAGGCGTATTTGGAAAATACACATTCATCCCTGTAATAAATTTGGAGTTCACACATTTCCCGCGGTGGGTGGGTGGGTGGGTGGGGGAGGGGTATATATCATTATAAATCTTCAGGGTCACTGGTTAAAGACTGGATGAAGACTTGCCTTTTCCAAATCTGAGTCATGAGTGTATAAGATTTTGTGGAGAGGAGAGAAAATTCCATATTTCTGTATAACGAAGCTACACCAGGCCATTGCGCTACATGTGAATTCACACACTATTGGTGACTTTCTTTCTTTTTTTTTTTTTTTTCTTTTTTGTCACAGGTCAGTTGTAAAGTGTCTCAGTTTATTCATCTTTACCTGATGGGCTGTAACTACTTCTGGATGCTCTGTGAAGGCATTTACCTCCACACTCTCATTGTGGTGGCGGTGTTTGCGGAGAAGCAACACCTGATGTGGTATTATTTTCTAGGCTGGGGTAAGTGCCAGCACCCGTGTCCGCGGACTCACGTTTTCAGAAAGCTCTTGGAGGATGCAGAGCTCCCTGGTAATCAAAATATACTTGCTCTTAATCATCCTTAAACAACATCAGTTGATTAACCTTTGCTTATTGCTGTAAATTGAAACATATATACACTGAGAACCACTGACTCATTGTTTCCAGGAGTCACAGGTCAGTAACACAATGTTGTTGGGCTTTTTTTTTTTTCTATTGAATATTCCAGTGTGTATCTTGGCTAAACATGCAGTGGCTAATACAATAGAATTAGAAGCATGAATTAGGGATTCGGTCTTCATCTTGTTAGAATTTCCTTTTCTCTATGTGCAAAAATCCCTACGCACTGGGCTTAGCCAGCTTTGAAATTCCAGTCTAAAAAAGTTTGTTTTTTAAAAAAATAACATTTTATCTCAAGAATAGAGAGATCAGTAGTCGAAAAAAGCCATACAAAAGATTTTTTCCACACAGTCTCCTGCTGTGCTATTATTCACGCAGCAAATAACAATACACTTCTAGCATATTTTTTCTGCGTTTTTTCAGTTTTTATTTTAATTCCAGTTAGCTAACAGACAGTATTATATTAGTTTCAGCTGTGCAATAGAGAGCTTCAGCACTTCCATCCATCACCCCGTGTTCATCACAAGAGCCCTCCTTAACCCCCATCACCTATTTCACCCCCCAAACCCCCTCCCTGCTGGTGACCCTGTTTGTTCTCTGTAATTAAGACTCTGTTCTTGGTTTGTGCTTTAGTGTATTTTTTAAAAAACAACTAGAATAGTGCAAAATATAAAATGCTGAAAATGAACTCAATTAGACTAGTTTCCAGGACATAACTGAAATTATAGTTATGTACATCAATCTGCCTGTCTACCCAGTAAGACAATAGCTACGGATATACAGAGGCACGGGCACACACACACACAATCGCCAGTGTACGTGGAATATTTAGTGTAGGTCACCTTTATAAAACGTTTCTTCATTTCATGTTGGAAAGATCTGAAGTAGGAAGCTAGAAACATGCAAAACATCTAATACATAAACCCTCTCTCCTCCTTCACTTGGTCAGTCTCAACTTCCCACCTCTGACCGTCTCTGAAATATTAGTTAATTCCTTATCACAGAAAATACATATAAATCCTAAGCCTTGGGGCTTAGGCAGCGCATTTATGGATTTGGCTCTGAAGTCCACTGATTCGGAACGACTTCTGTTAGAAGAAAACACACACACGGACACATAAACCTGAGTATATCAACACCTCGTACTTTGCCATATTTATTGCTTGACCATACAGATGATATTTACTCATATAATGACCAGTTATTTTTGCTCCTAGAGACCCCTGAGTTTCATATTTTATGACACATTTTAGGAATTCCATCTGTAGAGAAGGTTGCCTGTTTATCTTCTTTTTGTCTGCTATTTACAGGATTTCCACTGATCCCCGCCTGTATACACGCGGTTGCAAGAAGCTTGTATTACAATGACAAGTAAGATAATCTCTCTTTCCGATTTCTATTGGAACTAAATAAAATGAAAATCCTTGACATGATTTTCCTGTTTCTTCTCCCCAAGCTGCTGGATCAGTTCCGATACTCATCTCCTCTACATTATCCATGGTCCGATTTGTGCTGCTTTACTGGTAGGTAACTAAAATTTTCCCTTTTTTCATCATGGTTCATATTTCAACTTTATTCCCCGAATCATCTGACCTATGGGATCTTTCGGGATCCTGGTGGACATAAATGACATGTTCACAGTGTTTAATTGAAGACGGGTTAACAAAAGTGTTCTAGCTGAGGAGTTGGCAGGAAGGGCAAAGGAGCTAACTGGTAAGGAATGGCCCTGCACCAGGGCCCTGTAGCGGGAAGTCGTTAATGGTTCTAGACCCACGAGGGGATGAGAGTGTTACTGGGCTTGGGCGGGTGCTGGGAGGGCTGGTCCAAAGGAGCGGTGGCCCCGAGTAGAGGAACACAGCCACTGCCCCAAACCACAGTCTGTCAGGGAAGACGAAAGAGGAAGAAATACTCTAACTTCTCTCTTCTCGGCCCTGATTACTTGGCCAAATGCCGTAGATGTCAGAGAGCAAGCAGCCTGGGCAGGGATGCCGCCCTTAGAGAGGCCTCGGGCTTTCCTGGGAACAGAGAAGAGCAGAGCATAGAGCTGACAACAGGGAAGGGCAAGTGGGAAAACCTCTACACCTGCGATGGTAACGAGAGGGATTTTTCAATAAAGAAAAGAGTCTAATTTGGAAAAAGAGAGTATTGGTTAAGCTGTTGTTTTATTATTATTATTTTAAGTTTTTATTTATTTATTCATGAGAGAGGCAGAGACACAGGCAGAGGGAGAAGCAGGCTCCATGGAGGGGGCCCAATGCGGGACTCGATCCCAGGACCCTGGGGTCACGCCCTAGGCTGAAGGCAGACGCTCATCCACTGAGCCACCCGGGCATCCCTGTTGTTTTATTATTATAATGATCATCACTTAATACTAACACACCAATTGGATGTTTTCAAGTGTGGTCACAGGGAAACAGTCACATTCTGTGTTTTCATTACATTATTTCAATGGGGAAATAAATTCACATCAATATGCTTTTTTTTTTTTCCATAGAGCATTAGAGACCAGAACCCAGTTAATGTCTGAGATTATGATTACGGATGACATTCCATCATATATAAAAAGATAAAGGTGGCATGTTTCTCAGTCAACATTCAGAGCTTCCTAATCCTTGTTTTCAAATGCTTTTTTTTTTTTTTTTACACAGAGATTCTTCTATTGTTTTGCTATATTTGCTAGATGCAGTGTAGCGTACGGTGGTATTAGAATCCTGGTGAAGGGGACCCCTGGGTGGCTCAGTGGTTTAGCGCCTGCCTATGGCCCAGAGCGCGATCCTGGAGACCCGGGATCGAGTCCCGCACCGGGTTCCTGGCATGGAGCCTGCTTCTCCCTCCTCCTGTGTCTCTGCCTCTCTCTCTCTCTCATATATATAAATAAATAAATCTTAAAAAAAAAAAAAAGAATCCTGGTGAAGCCATCCTCAAAGGCTTGTCCCAAAAAGAAGGGAAACTCCTGGAGGCTGAAAGCCTGGCCTTGAAAGCTCCTTCCACCTTCTACTTGCTGTACGACCTGAGACAATGGGATTAATCACTCTGTGTTTCTAGTGCCTTATTGGTAAAATGAAGGATAAATAACAATAGGGACCTCTAGTCCTTTTAACAAGGAGTTCAATGACTTAGTACAGATAAAGGGCTTAGCCTGGCACGTGGGAAGCGTCAAACTTCTGAGCTGAGCCCAGCTCCGTAAGAGGCAGCTGGAAAATTAACGCGTGGGATTCATCGTATCACTATGGGAAGTTTAAAATACCTTAATGTAGACTTTAGTGAGAATCTCACAGGCAGAGGCGTTTCCTTCCTTTCTGCCCTGCATACCCTGGGGACACGGTGACACGCTGCACTTAAGCTGCACCTTACCATACCCCGGCCTCATCGTCCTAGAGAGCTGGCGATAAATCTAGCTCACCCACATCAGGCTGTCTATATCGGAGCCAGTTCTGCTATTTTTAATTTTAATTTTAATTATTTTTTTAATTTTAATTTAATTTTAATTTAATTATAATTTTAATTTTTTTATTTTTATTTTTATATATTTTTTATTTTTATTTTTTGGTGTGTGTGTATGTGTTTTCTGGTGTTTAATCTCTCAGTGCCATTGTGCTCCCTCCCGTGATTAGGGAATAAAAAGAACAGATACCTCGTAAGGTTTCGTAAGGACTAAATGAGATGCATCTTGTCAGCCTGGTGCATAGAATACAATAAACTCTCCAAAAAAAAACGCTTTTTAAAAGTTTCTTGTAATTTCCACACAATACCGTGATTCTGCTCCAAGGCGTGTTCAAAGAACTCAGATGCGTTGTTTGGGCCACGCAGGAGCTTGCAGAACAAATATAAGGCAAAATTTTAGTCCGAGAGCTCTGATTCTGCAGGGGGGTAAGTAATTCAAATGCCTACGTCTGAGAGGGTCAGGAAGTAAGTCAAAGCACTGAGCAAGTGAAGAATGTGATTGCAAGAGACACAGTCCTTGGAAAAGCCCCTGCACATCAGCTCGGGAGGCGGGAGGCGGTGGTGCAGTCAAGGGTCAAGGGTCACATAGAAACATAGCCCATTAAGCGGCTCTGTAAGAAGGGAAGTGAAAAACCATGGTGTTTGCATGAGTCTTTTTCCATTTTCTTGGCTTGAACACAGGGCAGGAGCCTATTTTTCTAACAGGATAAATGGTTGTGTCTTAGTTTAAGTCCTAGGGCTCCTCGCTGGTTCTGATTGATTCCAGGGCCTTGGGAGGGCCTTGGCCGCCGTCTACATGGTCACATGCTTCGGTACAACTTTGACACAGAAAATATTTCGGCCTCAATCAGTGTCTTTCCCCTCAGACTTCCCCTGTCCCATTTCCCCTTGAGCAGGGTGGTATTCGAGTGGCTACAGCACTGTTGGGATCTGGCCAAAGGGAAGTCGACAGAGGACACATTTAATTTGTGTTCAGGGAGAGATTTTTGAGTCAGTTCAGCGTGCAGTTAAGCGGGCTGTCCCGGTCCGGGGATGGCTTCTAGTCCTCCTGCATCCCCGTGCTGATGTGCACCGCCTCCTTCCAGGGACCCCAGGACGGTTTCGTCACATGCAAACGTCCTGTGGTGCCTACATCTATGGGGTCCTTATGAGTACTGGAGTAAACACGAGTTTCTTTTCTCCACCTTCACTTGTTCTGCTCTCAGATAAATGAGATTTCAGATATAGCTCATCTGAAATTTAAAACGCCTATTCCATTCTTATTCAAAATAAATGGTAACATTTACAGACAATAAAGTAGGATGACTTTCCGGTTCCTGGGTTCACATTTTTAAGTCAGATTTGCCATTTTGGGGAAGGCCTTTGCATTTGAAAGTTTCCATATAATAGCCATCTAAACTGCAACATTTCTACTGATTTTATAATTTTTTGATTTTTGCACATAGAGATCATAAAATATTTTATATTCTGAATTTATAAGCAGAAAAAAAGGCATTATTGTATTTTCTTCTGTGGGCTGGTAATAATTTCCACTTAGTCAAAACTTTAAAACAGCAATGGGCGCTTAGGAAGGGATTATAATAAGATGGACGGAATAACAGCTGCTGTGTTGATTTGTCATATTTCCTTCTCACACCTGTTGAAATGGCTTATTCTGCTTTTGTCTGTAGCAGAGACATTCCTGTGTCTATCACCATGTTACTTTTCATAGATGTGTTTCCGTCAGGATCGCAGTGAGCCGTAGATCTCTGGAGCATATGTTCTGTTAGATTCTCTAAGAATAGTAGTGGAGTATTTTTAAGCCCAGTTCTTTTCATACCACATGCCTTAAATCAGCAAATGTATGTTACTTGTTCATTGTTGTCTACGTGAAATGAGACGCCATCGTTGTTATTCCAATTTATGAAGGCGGGCAGATATAGATTACTATATATCAGCATGTAGTTTTAAAAGTTTTATTTATTTATTTATTTATTTATTTATTTATTTATTTTTATTTTATTTATTTTTTAAGTTTTAAAAGTTTTAGAGGATTAAAGCACACATGTTAGAAGTGAGGGTGAAGAAAAAGGAAAGAAAATATAGCATAATATAGCCCCCATCGGGCTCCTCTGCAGTTAAGAGCCATAATCTTATGGAAAGTGTAAAATATGGGACAGGAAAAATAGACAAGCACAAAAGGTATTGACTTGGATAAAGATAAGCTAGTGGTATCCAACGTGAGAGAGAGAGAGATTAAAGCAGAACTCTGTTTCCTAACTTAGTAACCACACTGTTTTTGAAGCTTTATTTTTAAAAAGATTTTATTTATTAATGAGAGAGCGAGAGAGCATGTGCACACAAGCAGCGGTGGGGGGAGGAGCAGAGGGAGAAGCAGACTGAGCGGGGAGCCCAGGGTGGGGCTTGACCCCAGGACCCCGGGATCATGACCTGAGCCGAAGGCAGACGTCTAACTGACGGAGCCACCCAGGGCTCCCTATTTTTGAAGTTTTACATCTCCCTTTCAAAGAGAATGATTTCTCTTGGGGAAAATTGTGAACACACAGCAAGTATGTAATTACGGAAAGTAATTAACAGAAGGCCCCTTGGGATGCCAAAGCTGCCTTAGCTCTAGGATGATCTGGGTTGAACATCAGCTGGTGTAAGCGTACCATCAGCCTCCTTAGAATGATAAAGACACTTACAGTGTTGTCTCGGGGAGTTGTGAGGGTTACAAAAGAGAAAGACAGGAAGGAGAAACCAAAAAGATAAAAATGGTTATTACGGTATATGTATTTGGAAAGTACTAGTATGGACAGTGATACAGAGGAGACACTTGAAAAATTAGTATTTGTTATAAACAATTCTTTATTTGAGCTTTTTGAAAATGTTCAAAAGATTTAATTTGGGGGCCATAGTAAAATTTTTTTTTAAAAAATTGCATAAGAAAAAGAACTGAGAAAAACACTCAGATATTCCTTAATCTGTTCCACGATGATTCCACCATGATTTTTTTTTCTAAAACCTAACTCCATTAAAACTGATGTGCTTGTTAACAAATAACAATTCTAGAAATATAAATTAATATATAAGGCTTATATTCTCTGTAATAGAACGTATTCTTATACAATGAAAATAATCTAAGACATAAAAATCAAAGATCCTTCGATAAGCCTTAATTTTAAATATTAAATAATTTTCAGTATGCCATTTTATTTTTTTTAGGTGAATCTCTTTTTTCTATTAAATATCGTACGTGTTCTCATCACCAAGTTGAAAGTCACTCACCAAGCGGAATCCAATCTCTACATGAAAGCTGTGAGAGCGACACTTATTCTGGTGCCGTTGCTCGGCATTGAGTTCGTGCTGATTCCGTGGCGACCTGAAGGAAGGATGGCCGAGGAGATCTATGACTACATCATGCACATCCTCATGCACTACCAGGTACGATGTCCTGGAATCAGGAAGGCAGCTTGTGAAATTTGGTATTAAATTGCACATAGCTTGGGTTTGGTTTTGACTATGTACGTAGCATGTGGGTTACAAATAATGTGTCTTTTCCGCTTGGAATCAGAAAATTCTATTTTTCTTTTACAGGGTCTTTTGGTTTCTACAATTTTCTGTTTCTTTAATGGAGAGGTATGGCGCTTGTTTTTTATTCCTTTTATCCTTTTCTATTTGTAATAGATCTTTTTCTTTAAAGAAAGAAAATCATGCATTCTCTAGGAACAACAATTTCAAGTTCCATTTTGATCAGGATAAAAACGTAGAATGCAATTCTTCTTCCCAAAAGCTTAGGTCATCCTGGAGTTCAAGAGTAGGGCAAATCTGGCCTCACTTTAAAACACTCCATCAATGACTTTGATTCATGTAGCCTCTGACCTACCTCCTGCACTAATCCTATTAAGTCTGGCCTTTTTCCTAGGTGTAGTGCTAGGCAATCCTTGACCCCATAAAACATACACTCTAACAGAAAAGAGAATTGGTTCATTTTCATGTTCTCCCTTTGTCTGTTTTTTGTTTTGTCTCGCTCATAATATGGTCTTCTTGGATAACAGTTTTATGGTGGTTACAAAACAATTTTTAAAAAATTAAACTCTCAGTTATACAGGAGGACATGCAGTAAGTAGAAAACTTAGGAGAACAGAGTGCTGTCATTTGTAACACGGTGATGTGCTCCTGGATATTTCAAGATTTTTATCCATGGCTTGCCTGATTAGAAAGTTTCAGGTGTTTTAGGGACTGGGACTATGTTTCTTGTGCATATGAACAGTGTTAGAGCTCAGTGGTGATATGAACAGTGGGAGATACTGATTTAAGCCCTTCATCTGTTTTTTAATCCATTTGACAAATTTTAACCTGTTGGAGGATTTTGGTAAATTCAACAAAGTTTAGAAATCTAGACAGCACCCGAGTGAGACTTGAATACCTGGTAACCGTGAAGCTTATCACAAAGCTTCAGACGGGAAACGTATGAACCAGTAGATGTAACTTTATGTGAACTATTCCTAAAAAATACATCGACATTGGAAATCATGTACACATCATAAAAAACTATAAAATATTGCTTCCTTTTGCAATGGTAGTTTACTTCTTTCCCTTGGCGTATAATGAAGTTTCACGTTTGCTTTTATTGATTTTTAAATTTAATTTATTTATTTATTTACAATGGAGCATAGAACTTTCAAACGTAGTAGGCTATCTTTCATATCTTTAAGTGGTGTTTCCATGATTCTTCCGCTATACGGTGAACGAGAGTGACTTTTTCTGAGCTGACGAGAAGTACAGATGGATAATCCAATGAGGAAGAACAGAGAAATCATTTGTTTTGATACTAAAATTTAAATAGCATTGATTATGGACCTCTATAAATCGATGATTGTCTACTCAATGAATAGACAGTCTTATTTGTTGCCTATATGGGTTTTTATAATTACATGTAGGTATGAGAGAAATGGCCTCCGTGCCAAAGAACATGCAATGTGAACTATACACCTCTGTTCCTGCAGGCACAGATTTCATTTTTATAAAGGGTGATTTCTAAATGTTTCTACATTTAGAATGATGATCTACAATCATCACCCCCAGTAAAATGTTTTGTGGCGGGAAGCAGTGCAGAATAAAGGCATAGACCCAGCAATGCATTCAGACCCCAGAGATGCCACCTTGTTCCTGGCTGTCATACTTGGGGGGCAATGTTCTGAACCTCCTGGAGTCTCAGAGTCCACTTTTATTCAAGGGAAATAAAAACACGTTCCTTACACAAGTCCCACAACGATTAGTGTGAGCTAGAAACCCAAAGGTCTTAGCACCGTGCCCCCCCCCCCATCGATGACCAGGACAGTACAGAGTCCTTATTAGGTCCGTCAAATCATTCATTTTCAAAAATACCCGTACAAATGGGAGTGATATTTGTATTGGAATCTATCTCAAGTTGGACTTTTCATTTGGAAGAGTTGCCCGGGGAATATCTAAGCTGATGCCAAACCCTCTTGCTGCACATCCCCCGTGGAAGCAGAACACAACAGACCTTGATCTTCCGCCATGCTCTAAGATTGAGAAAATTTTGGCAGTAAAAAAATTACAATAGTACAAAGTGTTGGAGCCCAGTTGTTGCCAAGTCTTTTGGTTCCTCGTAACATCTCCAATATGTGTCCCCGTTTCTTCTCCTCTCAAGATACAGTCCCTATTTGTGGATGACTCATTTCTCATCTTAAGAAATACTATCATCCCTCCTTTCTTGTCTCTTTGCCTCTTAGTCTTTCCCTCTCTCATAACATGAAGGTACCAGCTGCCAAATTCATTTTATGCAGTTCCAACTATGTCATGTACTTCTTAAAATCATTTGCTCAGGCTTACGTTTCCTGCTTGCTTTCCACAGAGGTCAAACAGCTTCCCTTTAGCTTAGTCTCTACTCTTTTTTTTTTTTTTGACTCTCACATTTTATTTTCTTTTTTTAGCCCAAATCTTCTTATTTGCATTTATCACTATTTAAATAACTGTGGTGGGCCAAATGCTCAGGCCACATTCATCACATCTCTAGCCCACTCAGCCTAAACTGTGGACCCTTAGCATGAGCGAGAGACCTAGTCATGAGAAGGGCCCTCCCTAACCTCATGGGTAAATCTAGCTATACCTGAGAGGGATGCTTTCATAAAGTGAAAAAAAAGATTTATTGAGAATAAGCAAACCAGTATTCTATGATGAGAACTAGATAGCATTTTTATATGGAGCTCTATGAACTATTATTTAATTAATTTAGGTTAAGGAATATAGAGTTGATTCCTTATCAAGTGCTAACGGGCATATAAAGTTGTAATGTCACATTCTAAAAACAGCTGGCCTCACTATTTGTATAACACTCCTGTGTAAAACAATGAAAAATGTTTTCATATCTTTAATAACATCAGGCTATCTTCCCTTCCAATGGCAATTTCCCTTGTTATCTTTCCCCATTACAGTTTTCTCACTAAAAGTGTTTCATAAGTGGCCACTTTAATGTTCTGTCAAACAGGTAGGACATTGTATTAGAGGAAGCAGATGAAAAATATGAATCCTTATAGAGAATAATATAAACAGATGCCTACAAGCCCCGTGGGTCTTTAATTAGGTTCATTTTTAACTTCAGTAAATAAGTCCACACAGTTCAGGAAATTGAACTTCCATGGGTTTTCTGACGATTTAGTCATAAGGAAGAAATAGGGTGATGATTGTAATCAGAGCAGATAGTTTAAGAGCAAACAGATATTTCAAAGGTCATTTTGACTCTTAGAGTTGAATTTAAGCTTTCATTTTTAAGAACATAAGTATTACATTCACAGCTAAGATATTTCTTCTTGTCAGCTGCTTCCCTACATTTATGTAGAATCTTTTGTGTAAAGTTACCTTCCACTTCCTTGCAAGCAGAAACTATATAGTAAATATATTTAGTCAATCCATCATTTAGTAACAAAGTGAAGTGAATTTAGCAGAAAATCAAGACAAAAAATAATTCCCACAAGAAATATCTAGATAATTGGCCAAAAGTCATTTTTGTTATAAATCTTTTAGTATTGTCTTAAAAAGCACCCTCTAAAGACATCCCATTTGTCACTTACTTATGCTTTTGAAGATATTACATATGCAGATATTATTTTAAATTACTTTAATTAACATGCTATTTGGAGAATTAAGAAAGGCAATACTAAACCATGAAGGAAGCAGTAGTGTATTTAATTTTTTTTCAAAACAAATATATTTGTTATCCTATAAATGCTTTTATTTCAAAGTAAATTCACAAGAATTAAGCTATTCCCTTCAGATGCAGTTAAAATATACAAATAAGCTTGAAAGTCCTGAATTTCTGAATTTCATAAAAATACAACCTTTAAAACACTTACTGCATTTCTAATGCAGTACCTGAAATTCTAATAACTTATTCTGAATTCTAACTAAAGAAACCTGTTGACTTTGTATATGTGTCTTTCACTTTTCTACATGCCGAGACAGAGTGAGACAGTAAAAACTTTGTGTTCATTTTAAGTGACAGAGTACAGGAGACTCTAAAAGGACTTTGAAGTATCCCATTAAGTTCTCTCATTAAAAGATCTTCTAGGAATGACAGTAATAGATCGTTCATAATTTGGAGAAGTTCTCTTGATCTATTATTAGACCAAAAAAAATGAAGAGTGAAATAAACCAGCTCTAAAAGCTTAATATTAATCTTTACACATGAATATAGTGAATGGAAAGTTGAGGAATTCTATGTAATTAGGAGAAAGTTAAACAGTTATTGTATGAATACATTTCTGGTACATGGATTACTGGAAAATTGTTCCTAGTGATACTCAGATTCCCTCTGAGGAAGCAATCCAAGTGTCAGAGAGCAGTAGAGAGCTTGGGGAAGACCATTCAAAGCTTGACATGGTTTGGACAGACCTAGCTTAGGTCACAGGACATGGCCGGTACGCTCACAACGTAGAAGCAGATAGGCCCACACTGGGCTGCCCAGTCATCAGACACCCAGAAATATCCAGGTTTCCATGTTGGAGATACATTTGAATATGCTCATTTCTACTCCCTGACTCAATATGAAGAAAATCATGTTTTTCTTTTCTCAGTTTTGAACATGAGACATATTTAGTGTCTCTGTATATGGCCTACCAGTCCCGATCTCTACTCCTAGAGAAGAAGGGAGTCATTAAGTATCAGAGTCATCCTGTCAGAGGGGAATCCAAACACAAAATAGTGGAGCGGTGACATTCCTGCACGTTTTCACAGGCTTATCCCATTTGTAATTGCCTGTTCACACTTTCTTGCTTTTGGGTAGTAAGCTTCAGGAGGACAAAATCCCTGATCATTCTTTCAAAAAGTAGCACAATAAAAATTGGCACATGAAAATCACTCAATAAAAAGTACTTGCTGCTGTTAATGATGATGATGATTTATATTCCCTGTATCCCTAACTTCTTTTCTTTTTATATCTTTTGTCTCTTCTTTTATACTCAATTATATTCTTATTCTATTATTAAGATACTGATATAAAACTGTTACACATGGAAGCTTGCAAATGGGGGTCTAGATTAACTACTTACTTGACAATAATACATTCATATGCATTATTAAAGCTTCAAAGATAAAGCATAGAAAATATTAATGGGGGCAGCCTGGGTGGCTCAGCGGTTTAGCATCGCCTTCGGCCCAGGGCGTGATCCTGGGGTCCCGGAATCAAATCCCATGTCGAGCTCCCTGCATGGAGCCTGCTTCTCCCTCTGCCTGTGTCTCTGCCTCTCACTCCCTCTCTCTGTGTCTCTCATGAATAAAAAAATAAAATTTTTAAAAACAATATTAATGGGTTCTAAAAATAAGAGTAATGCAGTGAATTTCCTAAATTTAAATTTCCTAATGTTCCCAATTTAATTTTTTTAATTAAGAAAATAAAGCAATATTATTCACTAATTAACATCTTTGAGGTTTTTTTTTTTTAAGTTTTACCTAAGTTATTTTATTGTACTTTTAAATACAGTATCTTTATTTCAGATAATGGATTGTTCTTGTCGTTTCTGTTTCTTTTTGATTGACAGGTTCAAGCAATTCTGAAAAGAAATTGGAATCAATATAAAATCCAATTTGGAAACAGCTTTTCCCATTCAGACGCTCTTCGTAGTGCATCTTACACAGTGTCAACAATCAGTGATGGTACAGGTTATAGTCATGACTGTCCTAGCGAACACTTAAATGGAAAAAGCATCCATGATATTGAAAATGTTGTGTTAAAGCCAGAAAAGCTATATGATTGATAATCAAGGGACTACTGCTTAACTATTTTGTGCCACTCCTAATTAAAGGACTTGGATCCATGACTTTACAACCAGAAGACTTCAACATTAAATGAATTTCTTGAATGCCACAAAGAAAACCCGCACATCGATTCAGTAGTGTGTTGTCAAATGTTGAACAACTAGCTCTCTGGGGGAAAAAAAATCCTGATCTGTAATATTTCCAGTTTCTATGGTATATTTCCACCATGGCTGATTTCAGGCTACCAATTTGACTTTACCTAATGTGAAATTGGGAAAATACGAGCACAGTCAACTCGTATAGGCTGGTATGTGTCAGCTCTAGTACAACACTGCATGAATTCACAGACAAATAAGACTAAAAGTTCATATACACCATGGGTGCGATTCTACTCTTGTTGACTAGAGAGCTAGCTAAGGCCTATGGACTCAGAGGAAAAATTAACTTTTCATTTGTGTGTTTTTAAAATCTTTCTCCCATATTCATTGGTGCAGTTTTTTTTAAACACAGCAAGTATTCTAGCCCTTTTTCTAGTTACACTTTCCAATGGACTTGATAAAGAAGTAACCATTTCTGTTGGCTTACCCTTTTCTCTCCAAGAAAAGTGATTGAGTGGAACTGCTATTGGCTACTCATTGGCTGATATTTCACAGTTATATCCAGTTCATACCTGTTTTTTTAGATTAGATGAATAGGATGTAGGACATGCAATCCTACTTTGGTATCGTTATGGAGACGTGTTGGTTGATGTTACAAACACCTTCTCAGCTACTTTCCTATCTTACTACACAAGTGGAAGGGAGTCAGTTTCCCTGTACCTGTAAATAGAAGTGTTGCCCCTTCCATTTCTACTGTGTAGACAACCTAGCAATTATTTTACCTGAAGGAAATCAGTGAAGGATTTCTTACTTTCTTGGAAATTTGTAAAAAAAAAAAAAAAAGTTGTGAAAATAAGCTTGTAAATACTCTGTTATTCTATTTTATAGTCTCAAATCAAATACATACAATCTAGGTAAGTCTTTAAAAGAACAAATGCATAATGTAACAATGTATGCTTGTTAATATCTGATACTGTGTCTGGGCTGATTTTATAATAAAATAGAGTCTGGAATTCTATATTTGGTAAATATTTTAAAGACAACCAGATGCCAGCATCAGAAGTTTGTTTGAGAACCAAGAAAATGGAAATATCTATGATAAGATATAAAATATTTATTAAAAAAAACTCAAGGCCATTGTTTTATTACATTAGCTTAGGTGATTCTTTCATAACTTAATAATAGATATGCTTGACATATTTCTCCTTTTATTTTGACGATGAACTTGCATTCTAATCTAGAAGCTTTAAAGGATTCCTAAGTAATAAATGCCAATCTGCCACTCTTATGGTTTTTACACCATTAAAATGTTACTTTTCTCTTACTGTATAAATATATATGGCTTTGGAAATATTCCAGGTTATTTTTTTTAAAAAAAGATCTAGAAAAAAATATATATATATTCCCCAATACTTTACTAGAGCTACCATACTATACAATACTAAAAATCAGTGAAAGACTTGAATATATCAGTGAAGAAGAATTGTTATCAGAACATTTAAGGACTAATTAAGATGAAAGCAAGCCTTGCTAATGAATTAAAGGGACATTTAAATAGGATTCAGTTTCCCTAATGTTATTTTCCACTCAAATTTCTGAAAAACAAAAATCCCTTTAATTAGTAAAAGTCAATTTGAGAAGAAATCACTTTATGTTTGTGTATGTGTGTTAATTTGCTTAAAATGGATTAAACTAATGACTTGGTAATCATAGTTTCTTTCTTAAGCTGTCAATAGAGCGTGAGTTCAGAAGTCATTTGAAATTGTCCAGGAAGATTATCTAAATTAGTAAGAATTAAATAATGTCGATAGTTTTATAATTTATCTGTGTACATGCAAAGATTTTGCTGTCAGTTTCAGATTTATGGATTTTATAGCAAACTGTCTTAAGAAGGAATTCAGGCTGTTCTCTACTTACTACTGTCCAAATTATACAAAAATTCCTTTAAATAAACTCACTTTTTAGCTTATTATTCAAAGACACAGATTCAAATCCTTCACTTGATAAGGTACACATATTTCCACATTCTTCCAGACAAACTGTCAAATCTCAACCATAAGTTACAGTAGAAAATTTCAAATTCTCCGTGGGCATTCTATTTCTAAATACTGTAATTTTCCAGTATTTTTTTATTGTGATTTTATCATATTAAGTTCAGATCAGATTTCCTTTCTGGCCGAGAATTATCTATTGCAGTCTTCAGGTGAAAGCATCCAATAATTACTCAGTGTTAGTTTTATACCCATATTTTTTTACGAATAATATTTTTAAATATAAGACTTCTCTAAAGCAGAAGTGCTAATTAAAATCTCCTTTATGTCTTACGAAGAAAAGATAAAATCAATACTTTTTAAAAGGAAACTTTTTTGGTATCTAAAGACTAATTAGGGGAATTTCTAACTTTCAAAATATAGATCTATTTTTCTGTAAGTACTTCTGAAAGTCACACTTTAATTAAAAAAATTCTAATCTGTCCTTTTTTAATTTTCTAAAGTTATTTTCCAGTGCACTTATTTGTAAAATATCCATTCTGGAACTTGGTGTTTGCTCAAGTGTAATCCAGTGTACATAGAATTAGTGGTAGGCATAGTGCTGTAATTACTGCTTAATAATTTTTTAAAATGTGAACTTATTTTAATTTCTTTTGGTTTTAATCTGCTAATAGAAACCACCATTTCTTTTATCTGTAAGTCATAAACAAGATATTCTGATCAATTAAAATAAATCATGTTATGTCGACTTAATGTTTATCTCTATTTTCTGAGCATATGAAAATATTAAAGGTATGAGTTAAACTTGATTTTCACTTATGTGTACTGAAGTCCCGAATAATTTACAAACCTAATTCTTTACAGTGGTCAGTGGAATAATACTTAAAATCAATGACTATATCTCTTTTACTCTCTTTAAAATCTCCAGTAAACCAGAAAAACACCCCTTAAACTGTTTTTTTAAAAATTATGGATATGAAAAAATATTATGAATTAGTGTTTCAAGCTACAATACTCCACACAACCTGCAATATATTCAAATTCCTTCCTTGGATGAAAGAAGGGAAAGGATGCCCAGAAATAGGAAAATGTACAGGGATTTCTCTTCCCTCTCCAATATATTCCATTGTGTAGTTTTTGTATTGAATAGCAGAAAGAAAAAGAAGGAAAGAAACTAAAGACAATTTTAAAAAGAGAACATAATCATGACTCACAAACATAAGATGAAACCATGTCATGGATTTTGTTTAGTTCATTAACGAGGGGATAAGATGTCACAACGATTCATGGAAGAATTCAAAATATCACACATATAGAATATATGAAATGCTGAAATGAATTTATAAAGAAACGCTCTCTTCTTAGGGCAATAATCAGTTGCAGTCTACTGAATAACTAATGTTTATTTCTATGATCAAGAATAATGTATCTCATGATCAGTTTTCTACAACTAATGTATCTGTAAAATAGTTCAAAATAATGAAAGGTAAAGATAACCCTCAAGGACATACAAGAGAGCACTAGAAAGGACACTTTAATGACTCCAACCTATATCTTGCCTATTCAATGAGAGAACAATATGAGGCACATGCAATAAGTATAATAAATACATAAAGAAATGATAGACATGGACGCACCTGAAATGCTCATAAGCAGTGGGGGAATTCAGAAATGTAGCAACCCACACAGTAAATGTACACAGGTCAGTATTTCCCATATGTAGATAAAGCCACCAGGTATAAGGTGCGCTGGGGTAAAAAGGAGCAAATTTGTAGCAGCATCAAGAAAAGGTAAAATATATAGGAACAAATTAATAAGAAATGAGTGAAATATGTTTCAACACTATGAACAATCACAATAATCAGTCAGATCATGGAAAGACACCCGATGTTCTTGAATAGGAAGATCGCCATAAAGATGTCAATCTGCCCCTCAATAAATTGTAAAGTACATATGGCCCAAATAAAAATAATGGTAGATAATTATTCTGAAAACAGATGTGATGATTCTCAATTTCATAAATAGTTATGAAAGCTCTAAACAAGGGGCAGGGGTAGATAGGAGATAAGCTTTGCCATATTTTGTAGCCTAACAGTTAACTGTTTTACTGGGATCCCTGGGTGGCGCAGCGGTTTGGCGCCTGCCTTTGGCCCAGGGCGCGATCCTGGAGACCCGGGATCGAATCCCACGTCGGGCTCCCGGTGCATGGAGCCTGCTTCTCCCTCTGCCTATGTCTCTGCCTCTCTCTCTCTCTCTCCCTCTCTCTCTCTCTCTTTCACTCTGTGTGACTATCATAAATAATAAATAAAAAAATTAAAAAAAAACAGTTTTACTAGCACATGAAGAAAGGTCAGAGAGAATGGGGAGGAGAAGTGTGTAGACTACGCTCTTAAATATTTTGCTGGAGACAGAGCCAAAAATGATAATCCGGATAGGGAGCGAGATGACATTGTCACCAGAAAATCAGTAATTCTTTTCCTTTCTCACTTTTTTCTTCTTCAAAAACATGCCATCCCTGGAATACCAGGTGTAAGAAATGGGCTTATTAGCAAGTCGCATGACTGGTATGGCTGCCATTGTGGCTTTAAAAGGGAAAATGCGTTGAAATGATCATCTGGTAAGTATAGGAGTCTGTAGAAAAACAGCCATCCTCCTCATCAATTTTCGCCTGGGAAAGGAGTGGGCAAGCCAATTGTCTGTTTCGAGTTACTAGTATAAGCAGAGAAGATTTTGCATATAATTTCACTGATTTAATAGATTCAGGGATGCAAACCGCACTCATGGACAATGTAGGGGCACCTAAACCCCAAGGAACACCATTCAGCCTACATTTATAACAAAGTTGGCTGGATAGCCTGTTGTTTCTAAATTCCATCCACATTCACTTCTCTCGACCCCAGTAAGAAGGCATTTCTCTGGCTTCCTGAAAACTTAAATATTTTTATGATGTAATTTTATTTTAAGAGGTTTCATAAAATATTTTTGCTTTTTCACTTTGCCCTTCAAAATCTATTTTTAACTTTTCTTTGACTTCTTTTTAAATTTTAATTTTATTTATTTTTTTTAAGTAGGCTCCAGGCCTAATGTGGTGCTTGAACTCATGAATCTGAGATCAACAAAGTTTTGTCAAGAGTTGCAAGCCACCCAGGAGCCCCTCCCTTGACCTCTTTATCCTAGTTCAGGCTATATGTTATATTCTATCCCATTATGGTCCAACATTTCCTGTAAACATATTTATATATCTAATCCCCAGTCTCTATTTACTCCATGTTGTAGTCTGCTCAGGCTCCATAACAAAACTACCATAGACTGAGGGGTTTAATCAAGAGAAATTTATTTCTCACAGTTCTGGAGGCTGGAAAGTCCAAGATCATGGTGCCAGCAAGGTACCAAGACCAAAGTTCCATTCTGAAACCACTTACCTAGGCTTGGCCACCATCTTACTGTGCATTCACGTGACTTCTTGGTGCATGTGGAGAGATAATGAGTGAACAATTTGCTATCTCTTCTTATAGGGATCCTAATCATATTGGATCAAGGCCCCACCTTTATGACCTCATTGAATCTTAATTACTTCTGTAGAGGCCCCGTCTTCCAAATAGAGTCATATTGGGGGTTAGAGCTTCAATGTTAATTTTGGGGGAAACACAAACATTTGATTCATAACACCCCAATGTTTCCTCAGAAGTTCCCGATATATTGTTCATCACCTAATAAAGCAATAACAAAACTAAAATTTACAGTCTTCCTATAAATCTGATACTGTTTCCTTTTCTGAAATCAGAGTTCTGTAAACGTTATCTTATTGCCTAAGTCTATGTCCAGACAGTTGTTGATGGCTGTCTTCTTGATCTTCTTTCTTCATGGGACATCCAGTTTCCTCCCAAACTTCGAAATTATCTCTCCTTAAAGTTCATTTAGGTCACTTTAACCTTTTATTTTTTTCATGCTCGTGTAACAAACGCAGCCAGAATCATTCTTCCCCTTTTGGTTTTGTGTCCAGAAACCTTGCCCAGCTCTATCTGTTTCGTATATTTAGTGTTACTCACTCACACAAAGTTTGCATAAGGATGCTCTTCATTTCCAATAATCTACAAAGAGCTCTTTTTAGAAAACACCTGTTTGATCCAGATCTATGTATGCAGGAGTTTTCTAGACTGCAGTTCATCCTTTAGTATGTGCTCCATAAATTTAAGGTAACAATACATTCCAGTTTTCTCAAGAATCGAGGGTTGTTGCATGTTGTCCTGGTGTCATTTCAGTTTAGCATTTGTAGCATTGGCTTCAGATCCATGAGAAAGGGGCTGTGCTCTTGTCCTGGTGCTTTAGAAACCCCAACTCTGGCCTTATTCTAGATTGACCTCTTTCCATGTGATTGGAAGTTATCTGAGCCAAGAAAACATGTCCACCTAGAGCTTAATCTCCCCCCCCCCCCCATCACGTCCTGGGCACCCTGGGACCCCAGAGCTTCCAGTCCAAATGACTTATGCTCATGCCTCATACTCAGGAACTATACAAGTCTTTGGGCTGGATGTCCCTGTCTGATGATGGACCTTGGCTCTTCTATGCCCACCCCTGGTCTCAAGGAGTAGCCGTAGCATCGCTATTTATGTTGAGAAGTGGATAGATTCAGATGTGCAGGCTGAGGGGTGCACTTAGATCTGCATGAGCACAAGCAGAGCTGAGGATGGACGGAAGGGCTTTCTGAGGCCAGGGGCCAGTTCACCCAATACCAGCACATCCCTGCACAAAACTCTAAGAATTCTGAGAAATCGAAATTTGAAACTAATCTTCTTGAGTGTTTGGCATATTTTGTTGTAAATATAGAAAGAACAAAACTACTTAATGTTCTTCTGGCTTCCTTTAAATACTTGAAATATGTCAAATATAAGGGCTTCAATTTGTACTCTTGCCTCTGGCTCCACAGATATTAGGGAAGGAGCCTGAGCAATTTTCCTAGATAAACATTTCTTGGTTTGGATAATGAGTTAGATGTTCCCTAATTGAGTTCTACCCTAAGCCTTCCCTGAACCCAAATGAAAAGTACTTTTTACATGGTTAAGACTTTTCCATTTTTCCAAGAGATCTATTTCGTGCTTTTATTATGTGTACTAAACTCTACATTTACCTGCTATTTTCAGTCAGTCACAATTCAATAATTCTTGGCAATAGCCATAAAAAAATAGCTAGTTGGGCAGCCCGGGTGGCTCAGCGGTTTAGCACCGCCTTCAGCCTGGGGCGTGATCCTGGAGACCTGGGATTGAGTCCCACATCCGGCTCCCTGCAGGAAGCCTGCTTCTCCCTCTGTCTCTATCTCTGCCTCTCTCTCTGGGTCTCTCATGAATAAATAAATAAAATCTTTAAAAAAACAACAACAGCTAGTTGTACCAGTTGATAATAAGCCTATCGATCAACTCATGGTCCTGCCAAGCATGGGCCACTCCTGAAAGTAACTAACAATCATTATCTCCGACTTGCTAAGTCGAATTGCAATAGGATTCCTTTGGAAGTCATAAAGCTTCTTCCACTGATACATTTTGGAAACCGGCTTCACACTGTTGTTCTAACGATCATTTTAATTGTTTCCTGGCACTAACATAATAAATATCGACTGCTTTCCCAAACCCTGAATTAAGCGTCATAGTTGTGGGGCAGTTGTTGTTTCTTTGGAGGTACTACTGGTTCCCATGAAGAAGCCCCTCCCCAAAGGGATCCTCATGCTCCCTTTTGCACAGAAGCTCTGTCACT